AACCTCAAACTCCTGGGCTCAAGCGATCCTTCTGCCTCAGCCTCCAGAATAGCTGGGACTACAGGCATGCGCCACCATGCCTGGCTAACTTTTTTTCCTATATATTTTTAGTTGTCCAGCTAATTTCTTTCTACTTTTTTAGTACAGACAGGGTCTCGCTCTTGCTCAGGCTGGTCTCTAACTCCTGAGCTCAAACGATCCGCCCGCCTCAGCCTTCCAGAGTGCTAAGATTAAAGGCATGAGCAACCACGCCCGGCCAGCCTCTATTTTTTTAAATCCAGGTAAGTCAGTGGTATTCTAACAGAAAATCTGCATTCTGTTCCACCTTTTTGTTAATAGCATTCCATCGTGGCCTCTGTGTCAGGAGGTAGAAAGAATAAAGGGGAGATAAAACAAGGGAAATATTTGAGCTATCAGGGAGTGGCTACTTTTTCATTGCAGTGAATATAAAGGTAAAATATAGGGTGCCACATAAAGTCAGGAAACATAGGATAAACTCATTTTTCAACAGTATGTCAGTTATATTTTTGAACAACATTCTCCATCTGTATTTCTTCAACTTCCAGACTCCTTAAAAAGTTTAATGAATATATTATCTGCACTTCTAGGATTGTTGAACAGTCAATAATGTTTCATAAGACTTCTGGGTTTTTTTCCAAGGTTATCAGCTAGGCCCATTATTTTAAATATACAGTAAATTCACTTCTCCTGAAAGCACATTGAGCACATTATTGGAAAATTTAACTAGCATATTGTTTAAAGAAATTTATTCTGTTTCCTGACTTTGCAGATACCTTATAGAATGGAGGCTGGAAGGCAAAGAGAAAAAATTACTTGTTAAAAAATGCAGTGGATTAATAATATAACCTGGTTGAGACAAGTGTCTAAGGCCTTTTGAAAGATGCTTAATGTATAAATCTACACTCTGATAATCCTGAGCTATTTAATTCTTAAAAATTACCGAGCTCATTTTTCAGAGTGTGCTGTTTCGATGACTCAGACCAGAGCATAAACTCCCCAAGGGCAGGGCATGTGTCCAATTTGTTCACTGGTAATTCCCCACACTTGGAAATGTGGCTGGCATGCAGAAAGCATTCAATACATATTTTTTTATTTGTACAAATTTATGGGCTACGTGTGTAATTCTCTCACATACATGTTAATAGACTGCATAGTGATTGAGTCAGGGCTTTTAGAGTGTCCATCACCCAAATAATGTACATTGTACTCATTAAGTAATTTCTCATTATCCAGACTCCCTCCCACTCTCAATAAATATTTTTAAAGAAATGCTGCCATACAAGGAAAGAGGATTAACTGGATTTAGCTCACTAGACAATCCAACAACTCATCTGAACATTACTGGTTGAGCAAAATCCTCAGTGCTTCTTGCTCAAGGTTGGGTTGCATAATCAGAATCTCTCTGACCATGTAAATTATCTGGGGATTATATTACATATGTCAGCTTAACAATGACACCTCAGTGAGTTATCTTGGGAATCCATCATCTTCTGTATGTCTAAGGACAGACAGCACATTTTGACAAGAGAGCCGCAATTCATGATTTCATAACATAATTGACACAATTGCAGCACTTAAAATAAGTTTTTCTTGCTTCTGGATAGATTTTGCCATGTTCAGGGTAGTTTTTAA